GGTCCTTCTCCCTCGTTCGCCCAGAGGCCTTGACCTGCTGATACATCGCGACGCAAAGCTCCCCCGAAGTGGTCAACCACCGTATGCCCAAGATGACGAACATGATGTGGGCGCTGGTCGTGCTACCTCTTCATCGGCTTCCGACTACTTGAACCCCGACGACCTCGGCTCCACAGCCTATCTTGCCGCCTGTGCAGACAACGCAAATGTAAGTTTTGCGTTTTTGAAAGCTCATACCTTCAGAATGTCAGTAGACCGTTTCTGTGTGCACAGAATCGCTTTAACTCTTCATTTAACAACTTTTTCTTATAAATTTGTGCTTGACAAAAATGGTAGATTCTTTATCTGCTGCCAACCCTGAGAGCGTGACGCTCTATTTTTAAAGTAGCATTCCAAATCGTTCAGCAAAAACTTCGCCCTTTACTGTGAATAAATCTGGTTACACAAACCATTTGGGGCCGGAGGGTCACAAGCGATGCGTAGTGGCCGAAGGCGGTAACTTTCGTCAGTGCATGAGTCGCAAAATGCAAATGCGATTTTGCTTCCTTTAAAGTGATGTTAGCGAAGTTTGCAGATGACCTCATTTTTGTAGTCCGAATGAACAAAGAGAGGTACAGATCGGTATATAATGAGTAACACAGACCAGACTATGTATATATAGGAAGAAGAGGCGATAGTGGGAGCAATATGTTTAGTATCCTGACGTTCCAAAAGCATACGAGCTTCCATCGTCGGGGCGAGGGTGGGTTCTGTTCGGCAAGTCACGGTATTTATGGGAGTCAAACATGCTGGCGTTCTGTTGGCTTTGCGTCGGCTTTCTGCAGGATGCACTGCGGGGGAGGGCGTTGATCACCAACACGTTTGACACCCAAAAATACTGTGAGGCGCCGTACAGAACCCACCTCCGACGAATGAAATTCGTACGCTTGTGAAACGTCACGATATTAAGCATACTGCTTGGGACGCGAATTTCTGTTTCAATCCCCAGTAGATAAAAATTTATATGCAAATGGAGAGCAGAAAAAAATAGCGGCTAAATTTCGAATGTTCTCCCGTTTTTAGCGATAGATTATCAGTCTCTGTGTGTGTGTGTGTGTGTGTGTGTGTGTGTGTGTGTGTGTGTGTGTGTG